GTCATCTCTTACCTGCTGAGTCATCTCTTACCTGCTGAGTCATCTCTCCAGTCATTAAATAAATTAATTCTCATGAACAACAAGAAAGAAAAGTGAGGGAGCTGGAGAGATGGCTCAGAGATTAAGAGCACTGGCTGCTCTTCCAGAGGTCCCAGGTTTAACTCTCAGCAACCATATAGTGGCTCATAGCCATCTATAATTAGACATGGTTTCCTCTTCTCATATGCAGCATACACATAGGCAGAAGAACACTGTAAATAAATGACTTTTTTAAAAAAAAATGAAAAATGAGCAATAAAAATGTTGAGCTTTGCTGGGTGTGGTTGAGGTAGTACACACCTTTAATTCCAGAAATCAGGAAGCAGAGTCAGGCTGATCTCTGTTGAATTTAGTCAGCCTGGTCTACAGAGGGAGTTCCAGGGCATCAGGGGTACACAAAGAAACCCTCTCTGGAAAAGCTAAAGAAAGCAACAACAAAACAATCCCCCCCTCACTCACCCACCCCCCAAAAAAGGGAAAAGAAAAAAGAAAAAACAAACAACAAACCGTCATTGCCTGCTAGATAAGACGGTGCACACCTGTAATTCTAGCACTTGAATGGTTGAGGCAGGAGGATTACCACCAGATGGAGGTTGCAAAACCAGTACCAGGCCAGCCAGGATTACATAGTGAAACTCTCAAAAATAACATCTGGGTGTACAGATGGCTCAGGGTTAAGAGTACACAGTGCTCGTGCAGGCCAGGCTTGTGTTCAAGTTTGGTTCCCAGTATCCATGTCAGGCGGCTCAGGACTGAAATCCAAGTCCAGGCAGGGCATTGGACATCTCTGATCACCTGCTGTCACTCACATGTACCTACTCACTGATGCATAAATGTAATTAAAAAATAGAAATAAGCCTTCAAAAATTATAACAAAGCAAAAGCAAATCTTGTTAAATCCATGAAGGTGATTTCTTGTTTTCTAAGCTTTTTATTTGGGACTCTTGTCTTTTGTGAATTGTTTTTGAGTTGATGCTACATGCATAGTGTTAAGTACTTTTTCTTTTCTCCTTCCTTTTTGCGTAGGAATGTCTGATTCCCCGGGTTTTTTGCTCAAAGAGAAAGGATGAGATTACCAAGGGCTTCAGTCTCCTGTCCTTAGCTTTCGGGAGACATTTTCTTCCGGGGTTGGGGGTGGGTGGGTGGGTGCGGGTGGGATTGGGGTGTGGGGGGGGAGGGTGAGGAATCTTTTCTTGGGCGTTCTCTACAGTACTACAACTCCCAGCAGACACCGCGCGGTCCGTCTTCCAGCCACGGAGGGCGAAACCTTGGCTGCCGTTGGTTCTTAGGCGGAGGGCAGCCAGAGACTGGCGCCAAGACCCAGTCCTCCTAAACTAGCCTTAATACTCTGACCCCCGCGGAGGGCCCGCAAACCCGGCACTTCGTCCCGGGCATGTGGCTAGCCTCTTGTCTCCCTACCTCGTTGTTCCGGGTTTCTTTTCAGTTTCCCGCGGAACCGTCTCTTGAAGACAACCAACCGCGGCCGAGAGTGTTGCAGCCTGGCCAACCACAGGCGCGGTGGGCGGTGGCGGGGACCGAGTGTTGGGCTTCTGGCCTGGGAGAGCCAGCCGGGCCGCGACCTGAGGGGCGTCCGGCGGGGTGCAGAAGTGGCTTCTTGCGGTTAGAGTGAAGACACCTGTGGGACCAGCCTCCACTCATCAGAAGACCACTTCGAGTAACGGAGATCTACCTCAGCGACAATGTCCAGCCAGATCATCCCAGCCCTCCCCAAAACATTTTCCAGTAGCCTGGACCTGTGGAGGGAGAAGAATGACCAGTTCGTTAGAAAAGCTAAAGTAATATGGGACTCTCACCTTGTATCCTCAAGATCCCCAAAAGCGGTTATGCAGTGATCTCACCCCAGTCTAGGAAAAGGAACAGAACTTGACCTCCGTCTTAAAAACAGACCTTCCTTAGAAACAGAAGTGACAGGGATGTGCCCCCTCCCTTGTCTCTGCTACGAGAGAGAAGGACTGATTCTTAATGCCTCTCTACTTAATTTCAGCAGCTGACTAGGGAGTCTCGTCCGGCTCTGAGGCGACAGCAGTCGACTCAAGACATACTGGAAGGGTTTAGGGAGCTCCTCCTCACTCTGCAAGGTAAGAAAGAGGAGGCTCAGTTCCCCTCTTCAGCATCCAAAGATCAGCTTCTCTTCTGCGGTTCTGGAATTGAGGTGATTCTGGGAGTTATGGAGTCCTGTGTAAAGCACAGAAGAGACTAGGTAGGATTGTCTTTCAGTAGCTTAATTCCTTCTTGTTTTACACCACACACACACACACACACACACACACACACACACACACGAGAGGGGGGAGGCATTTAAAGAGGTGATTTTCAGGAGATTTAGAGAACTTCTTGTTCTTTCCAAAGTTGTCTGAGCAAAAAGTGAATTCTTTATTGAAGCCTTGGTTGGAGTGGGGTTGGTCTCTGGGTTGGAAACCATTTGAGCTGTGTGTCATGGGACAACCTGTTGCTCCAGGACTCCCTGCTGCTGTTCCTGCTCTTCCCTTGGAGCTGACTGTCATCTGTAATTATATAATCTTGAAGACAAGCCTAGCCCAGGGTTTCACTGAAGATCTTACCCAAGATCTTCAAAGGGGCCTAGAAAGAGGTAAGGTCGCCCCTCTTCCTGATAGTTTCAGTTTGGATTTAGGGATGAGGCTGGGGGTGAGAGGAACATCTGTCCACGGAGACAGATGTCCTTTTCTAATCCTCTTTATGTTCCTCAGACTGGGCAGGTATATTATTGTAATTTTGGGCTCTTTCAGAAAGGAAAAACCAGAGGGTGTGGGGCGATGAGAGATGAGTGTGTGTGTGTTTCTGCTCTACAGTGCTGGAGGCGCAGCAGCATCTGGAGCCCAAGTCACAGGAGGGACTCCAGGAGCTGTGGCACTCTGTCCTCTCTGCCTCCTCCAGTCTGCTGGAGCTACTGCCTGCCTTACACTGCCTGGCCAGCCTTCAAGCTGTCCTCTGGATGAGTACTGACCGCCTGGGGGACCTGACCTTGCTGTTACAAACCCTAAATGGCAGCCAGGTAACTGGGGAAGTAAAGATGACCTTCTCCCTGGCCCCAAATCTTCTAGGGCTTCAGACATGCTAAGCAAGCACTCTATCTTTTCCACCTTCCCTTCCTGTCCATCTTTCTGTTTTTTAATGTAATTTTATGTGTTTGAGTTGGATATATATATGTGTACCATGTTTGTGCCTGGTACTCATGGAAGTCAGAAGAGGAGGTTGAAGCCTCTGGAACTGGAATTACAGAGCCACCATATTGTGAGCCATCATTTAGATGCTAGGAACCAAAGTTGGGTCCTCTGTATGAATACATGCTCTTAACCACTGAGACATTTCTCTAGTCTCCCTTCCCTCCACAACATACACACACACACTTTTTTTTTTTTAGATAAGGTCTTCCTATGTAGCCTTAGACCAGGATGGCTTCAAACTCACAAAGACCCACCTATGTCTGTCTCCTAAGTGCTGGGATTAGAGGTGTATACTATCATGCCAGGCCTCCCACTTAGATTTGGAGACAGGCTCATACTGTGTACCCAGGTTGCAAACTAACTGCAGTCCTCCTGGTGCCGCCTCTCCAGTGCTGAGATACAGGTGTGAACCACCACACTCAGCCCTCAACTGTTTTTACTTTTTATTTGAAGATAGAACCTTAATAAGTTGTCCAGTCTAGCCTAGCCTTGAATTCACTCTGTAGCTAAGGTTCAAGATTTTGAACCTACAGTCCTTTTGCCTCAGCATCTAGAATATGAGTCACTAGGATAACAAGCCTACACCACTATTCTCTGCGTATAGCATCGTTATATTCTGGGAAGGCTGCTGTCATGCTTGTCAACAAACAAACAAAACAAACAACACACACACACACAAAGTCAAAATAACAACAATAAAAACACCAACCAACCAACCAACCAACCAACCAATCAAGCCCAACAGGCTTTCTGAGTGATCTTGCTCTGGTTAGCTCCTCATTGGGGGGATTTTCTTGGGGTCAATGTTTAAAATAGCTTAAAGAATCCAAGTAAGGCTAAAGCTCTTGGGACTGTGCTAACACCACCTTCCAGCCTCCGTCTTCTCATAGGGACTAAGACATGTTCCTTGTCCCAAGTTCACCAGGGCATATGAGTGACAGGGAGCTCTAGTTAGGACCTTTGAGCGGTTTTCTTCCTGCTGATATCATTGCACCACAGTTGTCTTTCTCTCCTGCCTGGGGAACAGTGATCAGAAGAACTCTTGGGCTCAAAGACCTGGTGGATTAGACAGGCAAGAAAGGGGATGCTTACAGGATTGGAGCCTCTTGACTGTCCTTCTCTCTCCAGACTGAGACTTCTGAGGATCTGCTACTATTGCTAAAATCCTGGAGCCCTCCAGCTGAGAAGCCACATGCCCCACTGATTCTGCAGGATGCTGAGAGTCTGAGGGATGTCCTTCTGACAGCATTTGCCTGCCGCCAAGGTCTAGCAACCGGAATCATTCCTTCTTTCTCTAAGGGGTCCTCTGGTCTTATGCTCTCTTTACCTCCATGAAGATTCTCTGTGTCCTTGTTTCTCATCATGCTTCCTGCCTTATAAGCTGTTTTTCTAAGCCTGTGCCATGATTGCCCCCCAGGCTTCCAGGAGCTAATCACAGGGAGCCTAGACCATGCACAGAGCAGCCTGCATGAAGCAGCCTCAGGTCTGTGTCCACCGTCTGTGTTAGTCCAGGTGTACACAGCGCTGGCGATGTGTCTCCGTAAGACGGTAAAGATAAAGCCCTAAGAATTGGGGGGAACCATGGGCATCATGCTTTGTGAGGGTGGCTGAGGCTTGTATCTTTCTGTTCACACAGGGAAATCCACAGAGAGCACTCTTGTACTTGACTGAGGCCCTGAAAGTGGGAACAACCTGTGCCCTTCCGCTTCTGGAGGCTTCCAGAGTATATAGGCGACTAGGAGACACCGCAGCAGAGTTGGAGAGTCTGGAGCTGCTGGCTGAGGTGAGGCGCGTCCAGGTGGAGACACCTTGTGGGGGACTGTGAGGGGCGTGTGTTGTGCTGAGTCGAGACAGGAGTATATAGATGCGTGCGGTTCACAAAGATTTCAATTTTTTTCTGTTCTTTTTAGGCCTTGAGTGCCACCCATGGCTCTGAAACATTCAAACGTCTCATTGAAGTAGAATTGCTACTTCCACAACTGGACCCAGCCTCTCCTCTTCACTGTGGCACACAGAGCCAGGCCAAGCACCTGCTAGCAAGTCGATGCCTACAGATGGGGAGGTGAGATCAGTGCCCTGTTCACCCGAGCCCTTCTTCCCATTTCTGATTTTTCACCGGACATGTGATTCTTTTTCTCTCTAAAATTTTATTTATTTTTGGGATATGTGGTGTGTGTGTGTGGGGGGGGGGCAGGAGAAACCTCCCATTCTGCTATTTTGGGGTGTATAGAAGCCAGAGGTCAACATTAGGTGTCTTTCTCTACTGCTGTCTCCTATATTTTTTGAGACAGGGTTTTGCAGTGAACTTGGAGCAGAGTAGTTTTGGCTAGACTGGCTGGCCATTGAAACCTTGTGATTTGCCTGACTCTGACTCCTCCTTTACCCCAAATGTTATATTTAAAAATGTGTATTGCTTAGGCCTGGAGAGATGGCTCAGCAGTTAAGAGCACTGACAAGTCTTCCAGAGGTCCTGAGTTCAAGTCCCATCAACCACATGGTGGCTCACAACCATCTGTAATGGGATTTGGTGCCCTCTTCTGGTGTGTCTGAAGACAACCACAGTGTACTCAGAAATACAAAAAACATAACTTTTTTTTTTACTTGCTGCCCACTAGTGGTGGTCCTGGTGCATGCCTTTAATCCCAGAGCTCGGGAGACAGAGACAGGCTGATCTCTGAATTGGAGGCCAGGCTGATCTACAGAGTGATCCAGGACAGCCAAGGCTACACAGAGAAACTCTGTCTTAAGAACCAAAAACAAAATGTGTATTGCTGTACTGGGTTTTTACAAAGGGACTGGAGCTCTAAACTCAGGTCATCATGGTTCTATAACAAGCACTTGATACAGCTAACCATTCCCCAGCCCCCATTCTTCTCTAGTATGATTGAATAAAGCATTGGCAAGACACAGGTCCCCACTGTTAGCCTCCTGCCTTACAGTGGGACCTGAAGTGGAGTCCTCACTCAGACAGTAACCTCTTTTCTTTGAAATGTGGAAGTGTCCTTCCCCATCCATTCTGAGATTTGATAGATCTGTGCTAGCCAAGGTTGGAGCTCCCAGACCTTGCTGTCCACTCTACGCGTCAGTGCTCAGGCATCCCTCCACGAGCCAAGAGAGTATTCTCATTGGAGCCTTGTTGGGGAGCCAGGGGCCTTGGTGAAGCTCACAGGTTGACTGACTCTCCAGGGCAGAAGATGCTGTGGAACATTACTTGGACCTGCTGGCAATGTTGCTGGATGGCTCAGAGCCAAGGGTAGGTGTGTGTTTAGGGTTCTGTGCCCTTAGGTGGGAGGGTAGGGATCACCCCTGCCCCCTTGGTCTTGCTGGGGAACCAGTTCTCTCTGCGTGGTACTGGGGCCATGGGTAAAAAGCTCAGGGATGGTGACTCATGCCACTTCATGTACCCTCCTCCCACCCCAGTTCTCCCCACCCGCCTCCTCTCTAGGGTCCTGTATGCCGGAATTGTGTCTGGAGGCAGCAGCAGCGCTGATCCAGGCAGGCCGAGCCTCAGACGCTTTGACTGTGTGTGAGGAGCTGCTCAGCCGTACCTCATCTCTGCTTCCCAAGATGTCCTCCTTGTGGGAAAATGCCAGAAAAAGAACCAAAGAACTGCCATATTGCCCAATCTGGGTCTCTGCCACCCACCTGCTTCAGGGCCAGGCCTGGTCACAACTAAAGGCTCAAAAAGAGGCACTTAGTGAATTTAGCCAGTGAGTCCAGGAAGACAAGAGTATGGGGAGATGCGGAAGGATGATTTTCTGATAGGGACCTGGGTTGGTTTACTTTATTCTTAGAGGCTACCTTAATTTCTAAGCTTGGTTCTTTATTCCTGTATTTATATCCCTCTTCAGGTGCCTTGAACTGCTCTTTCGGGCTCTGCCTGAGGACAAGGAGCAAGGTGATTTCGTTTTTTTTTCTTTTTCTTTTCTTTTTTTAACCAGGTCTAATATAGACCAGGATGGCCTCAAGGTTACTATTTTAGTGGAAGATGATCTTGGATTACTGTCCTCCTCCTCCTAACCAAGAGCTGGCAATTTAAGTGTTTGCCACCATGCCTGACTCTAACTTAAATTCTCAGTTTTTCTTAACTCCTAAAAAGTGTTGTGTGTGGGTTCCCTTTCCATTGTACCCCAGTCCATCAGACTGGGAGACTTAAGGACACACGTTGGGCATATTAGTACATACTAACTCTCCATTACTCCCAGTGGGGGATCTCTGAATTTGAGGCCGTTCTGATTTACATAGTGAATCTGAGTCAACCAGGGGTTTGTGGTGTTTTTGAGACTTTGTCTCAAAAAAAAAAAAAAAATGGGGAGGATATGAGGAGAGTGAGGACTGGGGGTTTGGTGACTGTGTCTGGGATGATGGGAAGATACTTGTTGACTTAGGTGGTGGTCTCTAGGGGCAGGCTCCAACTGTGAGCAGAAGTGTAGGTCTGAAGTGGCACGGAAACAGCTTCGAGTGGCTGCTCTGATTAGTCGTGGACTGGAATGGGGAGCCAGTGGCCAGGATACCAAAGCCTTAGGTGACTTCCTCCTCAGTGTGCAGATATGCCCAGGTAATATACACTTTCATGACATTGGCTATGTACTTGGACAGAAGTGTAAAGATGGAATCCCCGGATAGGAGGATAAGGTTGTATGGTACATACCCAGGAGGTACCATGTGTGCATATACAAGCAAGCATGTATGCAAGGCTCCTGAGAGCTCCCTGGTCTCCCTACTGTCCTCAGACACAAAGATCTGGACTCTGTGGGGATGGGTTTTGTAGGAACGGGGCCAGTTGAATACTTTGTACTAGGCAAGCAATGGCTTCTGGGAGAGGTTGGTTATAAATAATCTAGTTCAGGTTTCATATGTGTGTGTAGAAAAGATACTTCCTCTCTTAGTCTGTTTTTTTTTTCTTTTTTTTTTAAATGATGCCTCAGGCCCTATCAGGTTCTAAGTCTTTGTACCTTGGGGTGGGGCTCTAGGCCATAGAGATGGTTCCTTTTACCTACTTCAGACTCTGAAAAGATTGGATCGGAAGAATGAGGCCACTGCTTTCTGGCAGGAAGCCCAAAGTCAGCTGCCACAGGAAGAAGCTGCCGGGTGAGCTGAGTGTTGCTGGCTTGGGGCTGAGGGGGAGCTGGGAGTCCTGTGGTTCAGAGACCTAGTGGGTGCTGTGGTGCAGAAGGAAGAAAGGGTGTGAACTCTGTCCGTCCTTCACTCTCAGCCATCATCATTCTTGTTTTTCAGGTCTCTTCCACTGTATTTAGAAACCTGTTTGAGCTGGATCCATCCCCCTAACTGTGAAGCCTTCCTTGAGGAGTTTGGGACGTCGGTGATGGAGTCTTGTGACCTTTAGCTTCTTTGTTTCCAGGAGCTTGAACTCTGGCCTCTGGACTCTCTCCTTGGGGAGAGTTTTTTTTTTCTTTGTTTTTTGCTTTTTTTCTGCCTTATCCTCTTTGGAGAATGGCTGGAACTGATTGTTTCTAAGTAACTCCTTCACTCCTGAGGCTGGTCCTGTGAACCTTGATCTACTTATTGCCGGTCTAGTTCCAGAATGGTTCCATGAACAAATCACTGTCTGCTTGTGGCACTTTTCTTCCTTCCTTCCTCCCTCCCTGTCTTCTTTCCTTCCTTTCTCTTTTGTGTGTGTTGAGTAAAATCTTCTATTTATGTCTTACCTGCTCACTACACATAGTTGAATGGGAAGGAAAGCTCACAGCAAACTAGTTGGGTATTGGCTGTTTACAATACTCTATTTCCAACATCCATCTTCTGTCTGCTTTTCCTGTCTCCCTAATTCTCCGCTTCCCTCCCACTGTCTTTTTGGTAGGTTGGATTCTGGAGACTAAACTGCAGTTCCTCCCATAAATCCTCACTGCCTACCCTTTACCCACCTCACCATCTACCATAAGAGCTTGAGGTATGAGTCTGAAGAAAAGTCTACATTAATCTTTCTGGGGAAGCAGTGGCTTAGTCCTTTTTAAGTTATTATTAAAATTTTGAATTGCTTATTTTAAGTTGTGTGTGTGTGTGTGCCCTTGGAGGACAGAGGTGTTGAGCTGTAGATACAAGCAGTTGTGAACCACCTGACATGGGTACTGGGAATCCACCCTATGTTCTCTGGACAAGCAATTACGTGCTCTTAATCGGGGTCATTTCTAGCTATGTTATCTAAAAGCACAGCCAAAAGCCCCAGGAATCTGTGCTAGGTGCCAGGGAACAAAGTTAGGTCTGCAAAGTGACTTGACAGTTCTCTTAAGGAAGAGTGGTACTTGATACTTAAGAAGGTAGGCACATGTGGTACCCGGCTTTAATTCCAGCACTTGGAAGGCAGAGGCAGGTGCTCTACGTAGTATGTTCCAGGACAAGCCTGGTCTATATAGTATGTTCCAGGACAGCCAGGGCAATGTAGAGAGGCCCTGTCTCAAAAAAATTAATGGGGTTGGAGGGTGGTGAGATGTTTCTCAGAGTAGCTCCATTGCTAGAAACATCTCTCAGGTCAGTCTGTGTGGGTAGGAGGTGAAAGGTGGATTGAGTCAGGATGCCACCCAGAGCCAAGTGACCAAATTGTCTTTTTCAGGCACAAGGACCTTAAGTCACAGCACAGGGTTGATTTTCTTGCTCTTGGGCACTATTGCCTTTCTGTGTGTTCTGCAGTTGTCCTTGACTTTCTTGAACCTCAGTGCTCTCCCTCCCCAGATAATATTTATACTGTATGGTAAGGAGTATATACTCCCAAACCCTGAGAAATTGCAAAACCTGCGTGATTAGAAGAAAGTGCAATGGCAATAGAGTAGATTAAGAGCTGGGGTGTTGATTCAGAACTAGGGTCTAGAGAAGAGGGGGTGGGGTGGGGCTAGGTTGGTTTTTTTTGTAGACTAGAGTCATTAGCTTCAAACTTTTTCTTTTTAAAAAATATTTATTTCATTTATATAAGTACACTGTCACTGTATTCAGACAAACAAGAAGAGGGCATCAAATCCTTTTACAGATGGTTGTGAGCCACCATGTGGTTGCTGGGAATTGAACTCCGGCCTCTGGAAGAGCAATCAGTGCTTTAAACAGCTGAACCATCTCCCCAAGCTCCAAACTTTCAATCTGCCTTTAGCCTCTGGAGCCCTGGGATGTAGGGTGTGTACCACCATACCCAGCTGTTTTCACTTGTTGGCTGGAACTCTTTTTATAGGCCAGGCTGACTTTCACAGAGAGCCGCCTGCCTCTGAAGTGCTGACATTAAAAGCATGTACCACCATACTTTTAAAATTTGAGATACTGTCTAAGACGAGAATTATAGATATGTGCTGCTACTGCGCCGACCTGGTTTGTTTTTCAGAAAAGGTCTTGTATCCTGGATTGATCTCCATCTAATATTCCTTCTGCCTCAGCTTCCCAACTGCTAAAAGTACAGACCTAGCCCATCAACCACGCCCTTCGTTAGGGTCAGTGTTTTAAAGAAGCACGAAGGATTTTAGTATGGTGGAGTAAGAGGATCCCTAGGATTGGCGAGAAATGAAATACGTGAGCTATTATTACAACCCAACTAAATTAATAAGGGTTCAAGCCTTTGTGCGTGGTTCTTCCAGCTGCTTATAAACTAAGGAGCCAATCAATTGAAGCCAAGTAGGAGAGGCCTCCTCGGAGGGATAAAGACTCCTTTTACCAGAGGATGTGGCCTATTGCTTTTGTCGATTGGTTAAGACTCCCTATCCGTCGAGGAAGCGTAGTGATGCGGCCAATTGACGTGGCGTTACTAGGCGTGTTGCAGCCTTGAGGCGGGGCTAGGCCACAAACGAATTTTCTGATTGGTTATGGTCTGCGGGTTGCTGGGGAGAGGCACGGAGAGGCGGGCACGAGTCCCAAGGCAGGCGCTGATTGGTTGAGGTTAGAGCAGCTTTCCTTCCGATGATTCGGCTTTTCTCGGTTCAGTCTCCGTGAAGCGTTTGCAGCCGTCGTTTGATTAGTCGCTGCCCCCCTCGCGGATTAGGAGCTAGCGTCTCCCGCCCGCCTGCCGCCCCGGTGCCGCTGGGAGGAAGCGAGAGGGAGGCTGCCTGAGGGTTTGTCACTGGTGTTGCTCCTCCGCTTGAGTGAGTCAAGCCCGGGCCTAGTCGGTCGCCTGCCATTCTCGTAGCCGTTACCCTCGGGCCTCCACAGCCGCCGACCGGGAGAGGCGCGCGCCATGGCCTCTGGAGCCGAGTAAGTGTATGCGCGCGCCCGTCCGCCCGCCGGCTGCGGGGGCGCGCACCGTGGGACCCGCCGTGCTGGGCAGGCCCGGTCGGGCCGCGTCTGAGTCTAGGCCGGGAGGGAGAGAGACGGAAGGAGAGGCAAGGGGCGAGGGAGAGGGCCTCGGGCCGGGCTGTGCACCCGCGCGCCCCCTAGGTCGGGCCCGCGCTGGGCCTGGGTCGGAGCCTGGACAAGATGGTGCTGTGTCATGCAGGCCCCGATGGCCTGAGTAGCTCCCTAGGCTCGGCGGCCCCGGCCTAGTTAGGCCTTGGGGTCTACACTTTCTGTGTTGTGGAGCCCTTTGACGCTGGGACGCCGGTCGGCCATTTCGCCGACCACACGCGGAAGACCCTAGCCTGAGAAGGGAAAACACTGCGGGCCGGAGGCCCCGATTGGGCCCAGTGGGCGTGGACTTTGGGCCACGTGAAGGCCTCAGGAGCCCTGAGACTCAAGGGAAGGCCGGGCCGGGAGATCTGGGGGAAGCCCAAGCCGGTCTCGGTGGATCTGGGACGGTGTTGCCCAAAGTTGGCGTCTTTTGAACTATATGTAATGAGGGGCTGTTAGGGAGAGGGCAGCTCATAACCTTTCTCAAATGGCAGTTTTTCACCATGTTAGGCCTGTTGTAAACACCCGGAAGTTTTACCTAGGGTTTTTTTGTTTTGTTTTTTTTTTTTTTTGGTTGTTGTTGTTTGGCTTTGTGTATTTATTTTTGTTCTTGCTATGATCGGAGGTGACTAGAAAGGAGGTATTTTTCTTTTAAGGTGCTGAAGTTAGAATCCGAGTTGTTTTTGTTTCAGTATCTTGGTTTTGAGAGCTTGCAGGTTAGAGTTGGCTTAACTCTTCAAAATAAAAACATTTCTTTCCCCAAGCATCTACGTTGAGTCTCTGGACTCTTATGGCCTCACCTTCGTCTCTCAGAAAGCATCAAATAAAACCTAGCCAGCTCAGCCCATTTAGAAACTAGAGCTTCCCATACAAAAACAAAGCAGAACAAAAAACTAGCAAGTGTAGGAAACTATACAAATCCCGTTGTTTTGAGGCTATTAGGTGTTTTGAGTGTTTTAGGTTTCATTTCCTTGGGTGAGGTATTCACTCAGATGTTTGGTTATTAAAGGACTATTAATATTTTAAATGGCTAGGGTGGGTGGTGGTGTGTACATGTATAATCACAGAACTTGAAAGAAAGGCAGAATAGCACGCTACTAGGCTAGCTACACTGGGAGTCTACATATTGAGCCCTTGTCTCAAAAAACAACAAAATACACTTTTAAAATACTCTGCCAGTCTTTCAATTATTTTTTTGAGTTAATTTTTGTTTTTGTTTTTTGTTTTTCGAGACAGGGTTTCTCTGTGTAGCCCTGGCCGTTCTGGAACTCACTCTGTAGACCAGCCCGCCCTCAAACTCAGAGATCTTTCTGCCTCTGCCTCCCAAGTGTTGGGACTAAAGGTGTGAGTCACCACTGCCCCGCCTTCTGTTTTTTTGATATCAGGGACTCATGTAGACCAAATTGACCTCAGATTCGGCCTTGTAGCCAAGGCTGTGTTTTAACTCCTGGTCTTGCTACCCCCACTTCCCATATAATGGGGTTACAGGAATGTCACAGTATGCCCCACTTATATCTAGATTTTTTTTTTTTAAATTAGAATTCCTGAAATGTGGCATCATAGGCATTTTCTACCTTTAGGTCATCTTGGCAGTTCTTACCTGAGTTTCCAAGTTCCTTTTGTGGTCTTTGAGTTCTGGAAAGGACCTGAATCATGCAGATGATAGGAGATTTCCCTAAAGAACATATAGAGCAGTAATTGCCCTCAGCTCTTTTGGAGGTTACCAGCTCTAATCCCCACAGGTAGTTGGAGAATTTCAGGACTTTAAGGGCCTACTACTCTTCTCTAGGGCCAGGGTCTGGATTGGTAGGCAGATTGGAGGTTATCCTGAAAAGCACTTTTGAGAATAAAATACAAAGTGATAACTTGAGGCACTCCTGTAAATCAAACAAGAAGATGAGCAGCCAGCCTCTGGGGGAAGATATTTTCAAAGATGTGGGACAGTAGAAAATTTGGTGGATTTACACACATTTATTTTTTGAATCAACAAGAGCTAAGGAAATTCCCATTACTCTAAAGTAATGGTTTGAGATGTAACAACATAGCTGAGTGTGGGGATACATGTCTGTGGTTCTGAGACAGGAGGATCATTGCAAGTTCAAGGTCATCTTGGTTTACATAGCCAGACAGAGCTATATATAGCAAGACCCTTTTTTTTTTTAATAGCAAAATAAGTGAGAGTAAGATATTTCCTGTGGCAGTGCTTTTTTGTTTGATTTTGCTGTCTCATCTCAGCTCCTGGAAGAATGCTTTGTAGACATCCATTTATGATAACTGCTACTCTTGAAACAGTCTTGCTATGCAGTAGGCTGCTTGGAGCCTTTTGCCAATTACTGAGATAACAGGCATGGACCACACTGCCTGGATTTCATTAATTTGTTGAAGAAATAGTTTCTCCTCTTCTTTTGCTTTTTCCATTGTTTGACCTCTGTTTCAGTTAATAGTCATGCTTCTCAAACCTTGAAAAGCATTTTTTGCTTGGTTGATTGGTTTCATTTTGGCAAGTTAGAGTCTCTTACTGGGTCTCTGGCCTGGAACTCTGTAGACCAGTCTGTCTTCACACTCACAGATAGCTGCGGCCCTCTCTGCCTCCCG